CCTCTGCGGCGACACGCCAGTCGCGGACTCGGCTGGCGACAGAGGGGCTAGCAAACGAGACGTCCACTATCGACCCACCCCGCTGCCGCACGCACGTGTATTCCGAACCCCGATTCAGGACGACCAGACCAGTCGTCACCGTCCACTCTTCTAACACCTCGCCCCGAGGATCAGTGACCGGAGATCCCCACGCCGATGACTTGGCGTTGAGATCCCCGAGCACCAGAACGGGACGAGGGTGATAGCGGCCTACGACGGCGCCCAACTCGACAAGGAAACCCTCAAAGTCGGCGAGACTCTTGTTGGGGGAGAAATACGCCCCTACAATAACGATGCCGCCCGAGACCGCAGCAACCCAGCCGCGGCCCCGAGACGGGTCGCTCAGAGTCTCGCCAATAATGGCCACCAAACCGTCAGCGCATCCCAACCAGTTGTCACGGGCGGGAATGAAGTACGGTTCGGCGACCACAGCCACGTGAATCGACCACTCTGCCATGCTCTGGAGTAGGAGATCCTGAGCTCTGGCACAGTGGTTGATGTTGCCCTGGAGGAAATGGAGAGAATGGAATCGTGCCATTATTGACATTCCATCCCCTCGGCAACGGTCCTGGGCCGGGAGTCGGCCGCGGAGCTGCTAGCCTGCGAGGGCAGCGAGGTTAACCCGGCAGGCTTAGTGCTCCTCTTCTTTTCCTTTTTCTTTTTCTTGCTGGCAGGCGCCCCACAAGCCCTTCCGCCTACTCTGTGCTCCGCTGGCCTTCCCGCAGCAGAACAAAGGCTGCAGTTGAGCGCCGCGGAGCACAGGGCAGCCTTGTGGCCAGGCTGGCCGCAGCGATAACAGAGGTCACTACGGTCAACCTCGGCGGTGCACTTCGCCCGGACGTGCCCTTTTTCCAGGCACCGAAAGCACTGCAAAGCCCGGGGCTGTAAGAGCTTGGTCCTTGCCGCCACCCAGCCTACCAGCAATCTGCCGCTATCGGCGATCTTCTTTGCCGACGCTACAGGGCACCGAACCCAGACCGCGCCGAGTCCGGTGGCGTCGGTGCGTATATCGCCAGCCCGCACCTTGTCCGGCGGACACTCTCCGCTTCTGGCAACGGCCGCCACCACCTCTTCTGAGGTCACGGAGTCGTCCAGGCCAGCAATCCGCACCTCTGCGGTAACCTAACCTAACCTAACCTAACATTTTCGCATCCGATTTTGGTGTTCTATATATCAAAAGATGAGCGTTGACGTGCGGTTTAATATAGTGTAAACCGCATGAAAATCGGAGTTTTGGTTAAAAAGTTATTGTGAAAATAGTGATTTTTAAAAAAGTGAGAAACTTCAAAGTGAAACGCTGCGTGATTAAGCGCTATTACATATACTTTTTAAAGTGCGGCCTTCAAGCTATTCGCGGCCCCCACCTACGTGTAAAATCTGAGATTTTTCGGAGCTATAGTCTCCGAGAAAAAGCCAAAAAAACAAGTGCCACGTGGGCACGTGTTTTGAGAAGCAGAACCGTGCGGCTATTTTTGAAGCCGCACCCTTGTTGTACGTGCGAAGAGGAGCCGGGAGCAAATTCCAGAACTATTTTAAGTTAAGTGGTTTAAAAGATATTGACTTTTTAAAATTTAGCCAAAACTGATATTTAAATAACTTTAAAAATAAAGTGAAGGCCTCTTATTTTTATTATAAAACAGTGTTAAGAAGAACATAAGGAATATATGTTAAAAAATTTAGATTTTTCTAGTGAGTAGTTTTTTAGTTATAATTTTTTTAATATTTTTAATTAACATGTGCTACCCCTAAAATAAGTATTAGCAAATTAATAAATAGGTATTTAATATAAGGCTCTTGATAATAATATATGTGAATTTTTGTAGAATTTTAAAATCAAAATTTAGCTCAAAAAACCAAATTTTTCAAAAAATTTATATTAAATTGTAAAAAATTTACTTATAGGGGTCTTAAAAAGCCAAAAGATTTATAAAGACGTAAGCTCGACACCGAAACCTTTTGAACGAGCCCAAACACGGGTCAAATCAGTTAAGAGACGGCCAAGATAGAAATAAGTTGTCTGGACCGGCGGCCATTTTGAAAATTTTTAAAACTTCATAGCTCTGTTTGTAGAAGTCGTAGTGAATTGCGGTTTTGGACTGTACTATTGTTAGATCAATTTCTACCCACCTACCAAGACTAGGGCTTTTTTGAGCCCTAGTTTTTCAGGGTCCTGAAATCGGTCCTATCTGAAAGACCGGGAGAGGGGCAGTAGTATAGTCCAAACGTTGGTCTCCTGCGATTTCTGGAAGCAGAGTTATTGGCATTCAAACATCTAGTTTGACATTTCGGCAGCCATCTTGGAAATCTAAAATAGGCCATAGCTGCTGAACTAGGTATCGCACAGGACTGGGGTTTGGACCTCAGACGTCGGCAAATAGTGCCGGAACAGATAATCTAGCTTTCAGGAAATTTCTGCATCAAAAAATTAAAGTCCTGAAAGCTAGACTTTATTATAGCCCTGGTCGAGCCCATCAAAACGAGCCCAAGCACGGAGCTGTAGGCCCATCCGTTCAGGAGTTACTGCGCATTAACCGTAAATTTGGCGGCCATCTTGTTTGGAAACCATAATTTGGAAGCGCTGTAACTTGAGAACCTTTCGGGCTAGGTATACCGAGTTTGGGTTCCCTGAATAGGGCTCGAGGAGCGCTTTTAGCTGGTCTTAAGAAAAAGACTCTAGGTAGAGCCAAAAACTTTTTAGTCTTTAACTCTCTTTTTGTAAAATATTTTTTTTAAATGTGTTAGTTATTATTGGACAAATCTTTTAGGAATCATTTTTATTATATTTTTTTTTATTATTAGATATTTATTTTCAATGTGTATGTTATAGAATAAGAAAGAAAATATAGACGTATCTACATAGAGAAAAAGTATATTAACGCAACTTAGCTGAATAGTTATTAATATTATAATAGCAGTAGGGTTTATAGACTGTCTCTACATAGAGTCATATATTGGTTACAATAAACTTACTTTTAAGAAAAAATTATACTTAATTAATAATTAATTAAAAATAAGATTGACAACATTAAACGAAAGTGGAGTTACGACTCTACATAGAACAAAAAATTTTCTCTTAAAAACAGAGACAGGATACTTGTGGTTTTCTTTTTTTCTTTTTTCTTTTTTTTATAACTTTTACAAACCTTTTATAAACATTTAAGAATCCTTTAAATAATTGACAACTTTAAATTAAACTGAGGCTTAAATCAAATTCACGATAGCCGTGTCGAACTGCAAATATATTTAAATATTTGTACTCATACATATTCTTTTATTTATACAACTTATACAACTTTACGTTTTTAAATTTATTTTATTTTATTTATACAAGCTACAAAGATCACCTATTATTATTGTGATCTGAGACGCGTTTCCCCCTAAACATGTTCGGCATCCGTACTCCCGCTAAAAGGACCGAGAGCAGCGCCAAAGACATGAGCCCTCAGGGCTCTCCAACTAAGACAGAGAAGGCAGGACCTTCTCCAAAAAATCAGAGGCCTCTAGCGTGAGGAGAAGCATAGGAGAATGGGAGACAGGGAAAGTAGACACAGAAGCCGGAACACATAGCCCTCCAAAAAAGGTAATTCCGACTGCTCGCCAAAAACAAAAAACTATGCCGTCACATGAAACAAAGGGAACAACTCGCAAAGCATTAGAGGAGGCAAAAGAGGGCTCGCCGAAGACTGAGACTGCAAAATATGCTGATCGTCTGACGGAGGCCCGTGCCTGCCTTCATAAAGCAAAACTGCACTTAAACAACTCACGAAATCTGAGGACAGACATTAAAACTGAAGTAACACAGGCTATAGAAAGACTATACCAGCTAGTCAAAGAGGCAGAGACAGGAAAGAGCTTAGGAAAAGAGAGAGAGTTAATGGAACAGAAGAAAAGCGAGGAAAGACTCGAAGATGAAAATGAAAGAAGAAAATCAGAAGAACATATTAAACTAATGAAGAAGCTTGAGGAACACGGAAAACTTCTGGAAGAAAATAACAAAGAGATTGAAAAATTAAGGGTTGAAATGAAAAAACACGAAAATAAGGAAGAAAGGGTAACATACGCGAGTATACTGGCTGGGAAATCGAATAGACTATCCTCGGAAAATATGACCATGCACTCGGTGGCTATTACATCAACCGACGAAAAGGAGACCGGAGATCAGGTGATCGATAGAATAAGAAAGGCAATAAATGCAAAAGAAGAAGGACTCAAAATAGATAAAATCAGGAAGGCTAGGGACAGAAAAGTAATTGTGGGATGTTGCACTCAAGAAGAGATAAACAGAGTTAAGGAAAGAATAAAAAATGCAAGTGAACACCTAAATGTAGACGATATAAAAAACAAAGACCCACTAGTAATTCTTAAAGATGTGCTGCAATATAATTCAGATGAGGAGATAGTGAAAGCGATAAGAGTCCAAAATACGCAACTCTTCAAAGAACTACAAGACGAAGAGGACAGAATTGAGATAAAATATAAAAAGAAGACCAGAAACCCGCACACCTCCCATATGGTGATGAGAGTTTCGCCTCAGCTATGGAACCGTCTCACAGAAGCTGGAGTGATCCATGTGGACCTCCAACGAGTGAGGGTAGCAGACCAATCCCCACTCGTCCAATGTTCACGATGCTTAGGATACGGACACAGCAAGCGCCTATGTAATGAAACGACAGAGGTCTGCAGCCACTGTGGAGGCCCACACCTCAGAACAGAATGTGCCGACTGGCTCTCCGGTGAATTACCATCATGTAGGAACTGCTTAAGGGCAAAAATGGACAGGAAAGACCATAACGCGTTCAGTTCAGATTGCCCAGTGAAAAGGAAATGGGAGACCTTGGCAAGATCCACCGTAGCATATTGCTAAGGTGGTCCCAAGGTTTAACAGAAACCAAGACACGGGCAACCGCCGGTATCACGCAATCCAGGCAAACCTTCAGCGAAGTGAATTAGCTACCGCCGAATTGATCATTGAGGCAACTTTGAAAAAGATATCCTTCGCCTTGGTCCAGGAACCCTACATCGGTCGAATTGGGGAGATGAAAAGCTATCCAGGGACACGAATAATACAATGTAACAGAGAACCCAACACCGAAAAGGTTATCAAAGCAGCCATTGTATTGTTCGACGACACCATTAACATAACCCAGTGTCCCGGGTTAACAACGGAAAACATTGCAGTCGCCAGGTTAAGGACTGGGACCTGGGAGATGGGAGTGGTGTCTGTCTATCTGGAAAGCGATAAGCCAATCGACCCATACCTGGACACGATCGAAAAGGCCGTGGAAGCTTTGGGGACTGGAAGCGTGATAGTAGGTGGTGACGTGAACGCATGGTACACCTGGTGGGGAAGCCGGGAGGCGGACGTCAGGGGAATAGACGTGGCTGCTAAACTCGACGAATTGGAGCTCCATATACTAAATGAGGGAACTGAACCCACTTTTGACACCATCAGAGGTGGAAAAAGGTTTTCTAACTGCGTAGACATAACAACTTGCTCGACGAGCCTGCTTGGAAGGGTTGAAAACTGGAGGCTATCCGAAGAAATAACCAGTTCGGACCACAGGGCAATCCTATTCGATATAAACTTAGAAAAATCCGTTGGCATAGACATAGAAAGAAAAACAAGAAAATACAATACAAAAAAGGCAAACTGGAGCGAGTTTCGTGAGAAACTTCTCCAGATTTGGAGCAATAAACAAATTACTAAAATAGAAATAGATAAAATAGAGATGAGAGAAGAATTAGAGATAAAAATAGCAGAAGTTACAAAAACAATAACCGAACTTTGCGACAATACTTTACCCAAATTAAAACACAAGAAGCGTATGGGATTGCCCTGGTGGACCGACGAGTTAACACAGCGCAAAAAGGAAGTCTCCAGACTGAAGCGTCGAATCTCATACGCAGCACCAATTCGTCGAGAGTGGGTCGTTGAACAATATCTCAATGCAAAGGAAGGGTACCAGCAGGAAGTTAAAAGAGCTCAAACTTCCAGCTGGAAGGACTTCTGTAGCAAACAAGATAGAGAGTCAATGTGGGACGGGATCTATAGGGTGATAGGCCGTACAACAAAGAGACAGGAGGATACTCCCCTTGTCTTAAACGGGAAAACTATGGGGAACGAAGAATCAGCCAAGACTCTGGCAGAAATATTTTATCCGGATGACGACACCCAGGAGGACGATGCTGGACACAGGCTGATAAGAGAGACAGCGAGAGTTGTAAATGAAGAATCACATGATGACTCATGTGACCCACCTTTTACTATGGAGGAGCTGATGTGGTCTGTGTCTAGTTTCAACCCCAAAAAGGCACCAGGGAATGACGGCCTTACGGCCGACATTTGTGAAGCAGCTATAGCCGCGGACCCGAAACTGTTTTTGGCGATTGCCAATAAATGCCTGAGTCTGGCGTACTTTCCAAAAAAATGGAAAGAGGCGGTAGTAGTGGTGCTGCGAAAGCCTGGAAAAGAGAGCTACACACATCCCAAATCTTATAGACCCATTGGGCTGCTACCTGTACTTGGGAAAATCTATGAAAAGATGCTAATTCAAAGAATTAAATGGCATATTGTGCCTAAAATTAGCCGGACACAATATGGATTTATGCCACAGCGTAGCACCGAAGACTCCCTCTATGACATGGTGCAGCACATAAAAGCTAAGCTGAAAAATAAAAAGCTAATTGTATTAATATCTTTGGACATAGAGGGAGCCTTCGACAACGCATGGTGGCCGGCGATAAGATGTAGATTAGCAGAGTCTGGATGCCCGATAAATTTAAGGCGCCTCACAGACAATTATTTTGAGGACAGAGCAGTCCGCGTTAGGTATGCAGGAGCAGAATGGGTGAAAACGACTGCAAAGGGATGTGTGCAAGGCTCAATAGGGGGTCCTATATTTTGGAATTTGTTGCTCGACCCACTATTGAAGGAACTAAGCGAAAAAGGGGAACACTGCCAGGCTTTCGCAGACGATGTGGTCCTGATCTTCTCCGGGGATAGGGCATTGGAAGTCCAAGACCGGGCCAATGCGGCCCTCGTATATGTTCAGAGGTGGGGAGTCAGAAACAAGCTTAGGTTTGCACCACATAAAACTAAAGCCATGGTGATTACAAACAAGATAAAGTATGACTCACCACTTCTGAAAATGGGTGGGGAGAGCATTGCGTTGTCAAGAGAAATAAAAATACTTGGACTCACAATAGATGACAAATTGACCTTCAACACACATATTAAAAATGTGTGCTGTAAGGTACAAAGACTCTACAGCCAACTAATAAGAGCCGCTAAGATCAATTGGGGCCTGAACCCGGGGATCATTAGGATCATTTACGTTGCAGTAACGGAGCCGATAATCATGTACGCGGCAAGCGTGTGGGCACCGTCAACATATAAATTAAAAGTTAAGAAGCAGCTCGACATGGCACAACGCGGGTTTGTTCAAAAAATAATTAAGTCATACAAAACCGTATCTCTACACTCGGCCTTACTACTCGCTGGGTTGCTTCCTTTGGACCTAAGGGTTCGAGAAGCGGCCTCACTTTATGAAATAAAGAAAGGTTTCTCCCAGCGGGTGGTGGGGGACCGAGATGTGGAACGGAAATTAGAGTACTCCAAGACACCTCACCCCGCAAATCAAACTGGGCTGCAGTTCAAGTGCATGGGGGACAGTGCGGAAGTTGACCAACATGACATTAATTGTATAAAAATATATACAGATGGTAGCAAGATCGAGGGGAAAGTCGGCGCTGCGTTATCTATATGGAGACACGCAGTGGAGATAAGTACCCGAAAACTAAAGTTGGAAGATTTCTGCACTGTCTACCAGGCGGAGCTGCTGGCCATCTTCGAGGCAACAAATTAAGCGCTTAGAGACTCGGCAATGTACTGCAACATTTACAGTGATTCAAGGTCTGCACTGCAGACAGTTGCCCAGAACGTTACCTTCCACCCCTTAGCGGCAAATATTAGAAAAAACATTTCAAAAATTCAGAAACAAGGAAAATTAATTAAACTGCTCTGGGTTAAAGCACACGCGGGGTTGGAGGGGAATGAGAGGGCAGATGAACTAGCAAAGGAAGCCGCCTTAAAAATAAAAAGAAAACCTAACTACGATAAGTGTCCGATTTCATTCGTCAAACGACAGATTCGTCTTGAATCACTTGACGAATGGAATCGACGCTACATAGAAGGCGAAACGGCCTCTGTAACTAAAATATACTTCCCCAATGCAATAAGTGCCTACCCTATTATAAGGAAATTAAATATGGACCCTTTAATGGTGCAAATGATGACCGGACATGGTGGGTTCTCGGAATACTTGCATCGGTTCAAATGCAAGGAGAGCCCATCATGTGCCTGTGATCCAATGATGGAAGAAAGCGTATTGCACATCATAACAGAATGTCCCATCTATAGCAAAGAAAGAAACAATGTAGAAATAGAATTAGAAACTAAAATAGAAAAAGATAATATATGTAAAATAATAGGAAATAAGTGTACTAGAATAAGGTTCCTAAACTATTGTAAGCTTATAGCAAATAAGGTAGTAAATAAAAACAAATAAAAATAGCAATAAGGAAACTGTGACTTATATATAAGTATATAATGTAAACAGCTCCGCTAAATTAGTAGAAAAGTAGATTAAGATATAGCAATAAATACAAAAGCAATAATAACATTAGACGTAAGTAAAACAAGAAAAAAAGAACCGAATTTAAGATACATAGATATAAGTAAAAAGAGAAAAATGTCCCTGATCCCTCTCCGCATTTTATTTTATTATATAGAGGTATCAATAAGCAAGAGCTATAATGTTATTACATATTTAGATTAAGAGTAGTAGGACTCCCGAACGAAAACCCGGAGTTCTCTACACCCTCTATAATATGAAGGACAATGAACTAAATAAAAAACAAGAAATTGAAGTCCGTGTTGAGCTGACAATGTCTCTGACCTCCATGTCAAAGGAAAGCAGCAAAACATACAAATAAAAAAAAAAAAAACCTAACCTAACCTAACCTAACCTAACCTTTTTTTTTTTTTTTTTTTTTTTTTTTTACATGGGGAAATGCCTACGCATACCCGCCTCGCGGGGGCAAGGACGGGTTATGTCGGACTCGCACCGACTAAAACCCCATGGTGTTCCACCCTCGTCGCATATTGGCAGGGCCACGGGAACGCTTTCGCACACTTCCGCGGCCCCACCTGCGCCGGCCACCCCATGGCGGCCCCTCCTCGGGAGAGGACCACTCCTCCCCCATCTCCTTCTCCGGTAAGGCGCACCAGAACACATGGCGCGCCCTCCTCCTCGGCCTCCAATTTCATATGCGCAACAGACGCCCCCGTGTCCGATGCGCGAAGGCCATGGGGCCAGGAAAAACTAGCTAAGTTTCGGCCGCGGAGGGTAGGGCGAGCGGCGCCTCGCAATATCGACACTCCTCTCCCCCCGCGGCCCCACCACCACCGCATCAACGGTGCGGCCCCGTTTGAGTAGCGGAGGATAGGGCGAGTGGCGCATCGCCATACCAACACTCCTCTTCCAGCCTAACAAAATACCATCCACCGTACAACCCTTAGAGCAGGTAACCCAGCAGGAACAAGAGGTTTCAGCTCCGGAACCCACGGACATGGTTGAGCAACAAAAGGGTTATCAAATAAGCGAACCGTCCGAGAAGCCTGAAATAGACTCAGCTTCGAGCTTCTTCTCACCACCTAAACTCGATGAGGCAACCACTTCATCCCCCGTTCTCACAAGAACTGGATCAAACTTACTGAGAATACGCACTCAAATAAAACAGGCAAAAGCTGCAGAAGCTCAAGAAATTCTAAGAGCAATGTCAGAGGCTGAAGAAACAGGTGACTCGGACGTAGACAGCGGTGACACCAATATCTCACTAGACGCTTCAACAAGATCAATAGGAGGGAGTCGCATGCTGCTCAACGAACTGCCTAGACACGCAAATGAGATTCTACAAAGGGCCAAAGCAGACCTGGAAAAGTCGAGTAACCTTAAGAGGGAGATTCGAGAAAGTGTTGTAGCTGGTCTGTACACGCTTTATGAGATGATCCTAAAGTTATCCGACTCCCGAATGCTTCATATGTTAGAATCAAGCAAGCAAAAAGCAAATGTCTCACGTGAATCTGAAAGGCTAACTCAAAGGCATGCAAGATTTATGCATGAGACTTTGGGCCAGTACGCTCTACTGAAAGACAGCATAGAGAAGCTGCAAAAGGAAACCGAGTCCACTAGACTTATAGTTTCGTATGATCTTTGTGAAGCAATGACTGCAACAAGGCGAGAGATCACAAACATACGGAGCGACACAAACTTGGACTCTAATCTTGCAAATCAGCTACGGATTATTACGGAAGAAATAAAGCAACTGCGAGGAGACATGATGTCTTCACACAAACCGGTCACTCTAGAAGAGCGACAGTTCCCTATTGCCGAGGAATTAGGAGAGCTTCGGCGAATTACCCAGGAGCTTTCCACCAAAACCAAACAAAGTATGCCATCTAATAGGGGCGAGGAAACTATCAGAATAGAGCAGCTTGCAAAGACCACCACAGAATTGCAACAGCACATAACAGACACAAAAGCACACCTAACTGCAGATGTGCAAGAATTAAAAAAAGAAGTTCATACGATATCACAAGACATCAAAAGTCTAGCTGCAATCTGCTCAAGCTCCTCATTTCCATCAGTTCAAGCCAGTTTGGAAGAACTCAGGAAAGATACAAAAGAGCTTAGAGATACTGCACTTGATTCAACGGCACCAATAAGGGTAGCCATTGAGAGCCTCAGGACTGAACTCAAACAAAGAACAGATATTGAAGGAACAGAGCCAAGAGGCTTCTCACACCTGCCCGGAGAAAATTATACTGAGCGATATCAGCACACACTAATGCTTCAACAGAAAAAATTTCCACGCTCCTTCTCAGAGGTAGTTGCAAAACCAAATTACCCACTCATAGTGGAGTCAATTGATCCCAGACGGACAAGCGATGACGTAATAAAGCAGATTAAGGGCGGGGTCGACGTGGTTGACTTAGGCATCGGCATCAACCAAATTAGAAAGGCAAAGAACCAGAAAGTCCTCATCAGCTGTGAGTCTGAAGGAGACAGAAATACACTTCAGGACCAACTTAAAAGCACAGCCAATCAGCTTACCGTTCACAGGCCAGCCACAAAATTCCCGCTTATACGCCTAACAGGAGTCGTCTTCGACTTGACGGATGGGAAGATCGTAGAGGCCGTGATGAAACAAAACGCTACACTTCTAAACGACATCCCAGCATCACAAAACCACATAAAAGTAATTAGGAGAACTAAGGGTCGCACGAGTTGCACGTGCAATGTCATCCTAGAGGTAAGCCCACAAATCTGGACGAGACTACAAAACCAAAAAGTCAGAATAGGCTTCCAAATAGTACCAGCCACAGACCAATCACCGGTAATACAGTGTTATCGATGCCTAGGTTATTCTCATCTAGCGCGAGAATGCCAAGTTCAGAAAATCGCATGTGGGTACTGTGCTGAATCGCATGACACAAGAGAGTGCTGCAATAAAAACAAAGTACCTAACTGTATAAATTGCATAGATAGAAAGGAAACTGATGCCAACTGTGCCCATCCCGCTTATAGCCCGGAATGCCCGGAGTGGCGTAAATGGGACCGGATTGCCCGAGCAACCATTTCATACTGCTAAAGGCACTGAAGTCTTCCCACAAAAGCATTCAAGGGCTATAAAAATTGCACAAGTCAACCTTGGCAGAGGATTCGCAGCGTTACAGGAATGCCTAAAAACGGCGGAATCGCAGGGAATATCAATAATCCTAGTACAGGAACCTTACGTAGGTGCTAAGGCACATGTTACTTGTAGGCACAGAGTTATCCAAAAGCAAACTAATGACACTCAAAAACCCGTCAAATCTGCGGTCATTGTCGTTGATTCGTCCGTACAGTACACTGTAAATCCTGATATTATTACAGAAAATATTGTTGCATGTAAATTTAAAATATATAACCACTATGTTGCGATTATTAACATATACATGGAAGGGGCTCAAGACGTCGAACAAGACCTAAGAATAATTTCCAACTACAGAAACATTCTAGACTCAGAAAATATAATCATTGGAGGAGACCTTAACGCAAAGAGTCCCTGGTGGGGTTGCGATGTGGAGGATAGACGGGGAACAGCTATATCGGAATCATTTGCACAGCTGGAACTACATATACTGAACACAGGGAAAACACCAACCTTCTGGGCACACAGAGGAAATAGAGATTATACCAGCATCGTCGATGTTACTGCATGTTCAAATGGTCTACTCAACAAAATAACGAACTGGAGAGTCAACCCTGATTTTGTCACCTTATCAGACCACAGAGCTATAACGTTTAGTGTTAACCTCGAAAAAATAACGGCAGAAGCCACTCAGAGACAAACTACACGTATCTATAATACAGGGAAAGCAGATTGGGCAAGTTTCACCCATTTTCTGAAGGAGGAACTAAAAGTACTGAAGATCACCGAGGAATCCATCACTGAAATAGGAAACACAGACGCTTTAGAAGATCTTGTACAACAATACGTCGATTGCATTCAGAGATCCTCCGACAAAGCTATTCCAAAGCTGGCAAAAACCATTAGCGCAAAGACTCCATGGTGGACAAAACAACTAAGCGACAAGAAAAAAGATGTAATCCGAAAAAGAAGGAAAATCAAACATGCCAACCAGAACAGAAGACAATCAGTGATTGAAGATTATATAACTGCTAAAGCAGAATACAAAAATCTCCTGACTGACACTCTCACTTCAAGCTGGAAAGACTTCTGTAAAAAACAAGACCGTGAAAATTTGTGGCAAGGGATATACAGGGTTATAAGGAAATCGAGCAGAACTCCGGAGGATACATTGTTACGAGAAACGACAACTAGTAAGATAATGACCCCGGAAGAGTCTGCTAAAATATTATCTGAAACTTTTTATCCATATGACGATATCGAAACGGATGAACAACCACACTCAGAGATGCGACAAAAGGCTGAAACAAGAAAGAATGGGCGAAGATCACCAAAGAAGATACCACAAAACCATTCACAAACACTGAGGTAGAATTTATTCTTCAATCAATGAGCCCTCGGAAATCGCCAGGAGAAGACAGTCTTACAGCCGACATATGTTACAAAGCTTATGCGGCTCTTCCACAGATACTCTTGGCAATTTACAACAAATGCCTTGCACTTGGACACTTTCCAAAAATCTGGAAAAACGCAATAATTAAAGTCATCCCAAAGCCTAACAAGGAGAACTACACACTTCCAAAATCATATCGGCCAATAGGACTCTTACCTGTACTGGGAAAAGGGCTTGAAAAACTATTCGTTAATCGAATGACCTGGCAGATCGGCTCAGAAAATAAAATGAGCGGTAGGCAATACGGGTTTGTCTCACAGAGAGGGACTGAGGACGCCCTATGCGACGCCCTTGAGGTTGTCAGGCAGGGTTTAAAAAACAGTGAAATTGTTGTGATTGTCTCCATTGACATTGAAGGAGCTTTCGATAACGCTTGGTGGCCCGCAATGATTAATGAGCTTGAAAAGAAAAAGGTTGACAAATCTGTATGTAGGCTAATCGGAAGTTATCTCACAGATAGACAAATAAAATTAACATACGCAGGTAGTGAGATAATAAAACAAACCAACAAAGGATGCATACAAGGATCTATCTGCGGACCTCTGCTGTGGAACCTGCAACTTGACCCATTACTAAGGGAGGTAGAAGAACTAGGCACCCACATACAAGCGTACGCAGATGACATATTAGTCATTGCGAAAGGGAAAGCAGTAAAGGACCTAGAACAAGAACTTAATACAGCACTTGATCACATACTTGCTTGGGCTAAAACTAGGAAGATGAGACTGGCGGTTCAGAAGACGCAAGCCATCCTACTAACTAGGAAATTAAAATATGAAACTCCATCGTTATCCCTCGATAATAAAGCAATAACGTTCTCTAACAGCATAACAATCCTTGGACTCACGATAGACGCCAATCTCAACTTTGTAAAGCACGTAGACGTAGTAACGGAAAAGGCAATTCAGCTTTACAAAAAGGTCTCAAGAACGGCACGAGCCAATTGGGGTCTTAATTCTGAAATTCTCAGAACAATATACATAACAGTGGTCGAACCAACAATCTTATATGCGGCGGGGGCATGGGGCACAACGGCCAATAAAAAGCAAATAAAAACAAGACTCGACAGAATCACCAGAACTTTTGCAATAATGGTTAGCAAAGCACACCGCACAGCATCTTTGATATCATGCACAACACTAGCCCGAATCATCCCATTAGATTTAAGAGCCCTAGAAAATGCTGAGATCTACATGATAAAGAGAGGCAAACCTATTTCGCATTTACCAGGCAGAACACTAGCGAAACCAATAAGCCCTTACACGCTACCACACCCAGCAGACAGGACAAGACAACGGTTTGAACTGATAACATCTGAAAACGAAATAAAGGCTATTGGAAACGACTGGCCGTGCATATACACCGATGGCAGCAAAATCGCAGGTAAAGTAGGCGCTGCCATTACTTGTTGGAAGGATGGTAGAGAAATCCACAAGACCAAATTAAAACTCGGAAGCCATTGCAGTGTCTACCAAGCGGAACTTGCTGCCATCTTAAAAGCCACCGAAATAATGCTGCGTAGACACACTCTTAAGAAAGCAAATATCCTGAGTGACTCACGATCAGCTCTAGAATGCCTAACAAATCCTAACACCTTACACCCCATAGCAGCGGAAATTCTAGATCGCATAATGGAAATAGAGAGGCAACAGGGAAGAGTGAGCCTATATTGGATCAAAGCTCACTGCGGCATCCAGGGGAATGAAAGGGCTGACGAATTAGCTAAGTCGGCAGCGGAAACATCAAAACAGACACCGGTATACGATTGCTTCCCTCTGTCCCTCGCAAAGCGCCACATTAGGGACAACACTTTGCTTATCTGGCAAGAACGGTACACAACATCAGACACAGGTAGAGTCACAAAGAAGTTCTTCCCAAACGTGACCCAGGCGTATACAACAATTAAGAAGATTGCAGTCAGTAACCTGAGGTGTCAAATTTTCACGGGACATGGGGGTTTTAAAGCATACTTACATAGATTTAAGTTAGCGCAGAGCCCATACTGTGATTGTGACCACCTAACACCACAGACCATAGAACACATTCTCATAGATTGCCCTAAACACGCAGCTTTAAGACTCTGTTGCGAACACCGCATGGGATTTGCGCTGAGAGAAGACACTCTCTGTAGGGCAGTCAACGACAATGACAGTCGAACTCATTTCCTTGAATTTGCCGAAAGGTGTCTGAGGAAAGTATTACAAGGAAATGGGTCCAAGATATATTAGCCTTAAGAAAATATAGTTGTAATAGCAATAGTTATAAGTAGGCAATAGTAACACTTAACCACGAAAGATGTAGATAAAAGCTTAGGCTTTATAACTATAGCACTTCTTACTGATGATTTGAAATTTAGACAATAAGAATAATACTGATTAACAGTACTTATGAAAACTAGAAATACTCTGGAGAAGTAGTAAGATTTAAGTAGACAAAAGTTATTTAGTAATTAAGAACATCTAACATAATATAGTCAGTCACTAATATTGTATAGCAAGCATGTGATAACAAATACTTAGACAGAGGAAAAAAAAAATGTAAAACTAGAAAGTAGCTTCATTAATCATCAGCTAGGAAAATAAGAAATTGTTATCCGAATAGAAGAAGTAGAAGTAATAGAAGTGTTTAGAAGCAAAGAATAGGAATAAGTGGCAAATAGAGTTAAGAAACCATGTACGCTAAAAAAAAAAAAAAAAAGTATCAAAACTGATAGAATAAAATGTAAAAGATATAAAAGGTGCTGTAAAAGAAATAACAGCAGATGAAATGAGTAATTACAAAAAAAAAAAAAAAAAAAAAAACACTCCTCTTCCTCTGCGACTCCACCTCGGCTGCAGCGGTAGAGGGAGCGGCCACCCCTCTATCCGCAGCTCACCAACACACATCCGAAGTGGGCTTGTCAAGCCCGCTCGGAGTGGCCACCTCGGGCCGGCCCTACACATCGGGCCAGCCAAGGGTTTCCTCTTTGTTCACCGCGGTTGACCAAGCCACGGCTACTAAGCCCCCCCGCCACGACAAGGCGGGAACCCGTTCGGGGGGGTCGGGGGGAAACCTAACCTAACCTAACCTAACCGAGTTGCGCTCCAAACGCCGTCCCGAACGCAGCATTTTTAAACCGCTCCGCGTCTTAAAAATCAAAGTTGTGGGTCAAATTGATCAAATAACGAAGTGTGATACACCAAAAGATTCGTCTCAACGAGACGCATATAGTGATAAGTGAAAAAGTGGAAAAAGTGTGCAAAATAAAAAGTTATCACGGAAAAACCATTTTTTCCTAACCCCAAAAACTAAAAGTGAAACGCTGCCTAAACTAAATCAACAACATAATGGTTTTTAGTGTCGTTAGAAGCGCCCTGTTTAGCTCTAACTTTTTGAGCAATCAGAAAAATTTTTCGACGCTCGCGCACGGAAATATAACCAAAATTAAAAAACCACGTGGCCACGTGTTTTAAGATCGGAAGGTGTGCGGCTGAATCTGACGACGGTTTTATAAAGAAGACGGCGA